TCCTCATATGGCCAATTCCCATCTATCCACATGTAGATTATCCATGGGGAATTTTTAATCCTGGGCCAGCTTCTCTCAATTGCACATATACTTCTGATTGGCTTCTCAATTATCCAATCAATATGTTCTCAGAAACACACACACTCTCTCTCTCTGTCTCTGTCTCTCTCACTCACACACACACACACACACACTCTCTCTCTCTCTCTCTCTTTAGATAAAAACCTATGGAAAACATGCTGTTTATTGTGCTCAGTTTCCTTCTTTGCATTTCCCCTTTTCCACCACCAATTCTGAGGAGAAAAAATTATATATTTTAAAATATCATTTCAGAAAAGGCTGTTTCTCAAGAACTATGCTGAAGACAGTAACAACTGCTGAAGATGAACAGACACTGTTTGTGGGAAGTTCGGACCTGATCCTCTGAAAAAAGCCTTCTGAAGATGGATGAAACTGCAAAGGAGATATTTTAAAATCACAGGACTGTAAAGGGTCCTGACCCTGTCCCAAGGAACGGTCAGTGACTCAGGAGAATGCCCTACCACACATATCACTGGGATATAACCCACTGCCCCATCAACCACCTGTCCCATGTCTGTGTGAAAAATAAAGTAATTCCAGCCCCCTACATCATACTCATGCTTCTATTTGCCATACTTAAAAAAAAATGTGGAAGATATAATTGCTGGTCAGAAGAAAATAAAACAGATTCAAGAGGCAGTGGAGAACATTAGTGAAGAGATAATAAAAATGACCTCCCACTTTTGTATAGTATTTTGTATAGTAAGAGATCATTATACAATACTTTGTATAGTGGGAGACCATTTGGAAGGGACCTCAGAGAGCATCTAACCCACTCACTTCATTCTCCAGATGAAATGAAGACACAATAGATGAAAGTGTTGCCCAAAGTCACACACAGCCGATAGCCCAATCAGTATTGTTTTTTAAAAATACCACATAGTGGCAAATGCAGCATCATCATCATCATTATTTTTTGGAGCTGGAGGACAATTCAATTCCAACATTTATTAAGCACCTATTGTGTACAAGGCACCTTACTCGATTCTACTGAAGGTACAAAGATTGATGAGCTAATCATTGTCTCCAAGTGCTTATGAAAAAAAGCCCTGTGCGGCCATGTTTTCAAGATCTCCCTCGGCAGAAAGTAGTACAGAGCAGGGGCTCAGGTTGCTGCTGGTGATCACGGGCAGCTGCTGCGCAGGAGAGCGGATACCACAAGTAATACTTCACATTGAGAGCTCAGCCTGTCGCACAGCTGCTGGAGCCCTAAGGACAGTCTTTTCTCCTAGCCCTCTAGTCACACTTCAGGCCACAGCCTGTCTTACCCTGAGTGGCGACAGGGCTGACAGGAGGGCAGCAGTGCCCTGACCCTCCCCTCAAATCGCTGTTTCCTTCCCCCTTGTGTCCAGCCTTAGGCTCCTGGCAAGGGTCCCGACCATGTCCCAAGGAACGGTCAGTGACTCAGAATGCCCTACCACACACATCACTGGGATATAACCCACTGCCCCATCAACCACCTGTCCCATGTCTGTGTGAAAAATAAAGTAATTCCAGCCCCCTACATCATACTCATGCTTCTATTCGCCATCCTCCCCCTCCCGCCCCCCCCAAAAGTGGAAGATGTAATTGTTGGTCAGAAGAAAATAAAACAGATTCAAGAGGCAGTGGAAAACATTAGTGAAGAGATAATAAAAATGATCTCCCACTTTTGTATAGTCCTTTGCAGTGCAGTATTTTCATCCCACTATCATTTTGTGTTCTCACCACAACTCTGTGAGGTAGTTAGTGAAGATAGTATTCCCATTATAACATAGCTGAAGAACCTTAGACTTGAGAGACTAAGTGCCTTGCCGCAAAGTCATCCTGCTAAGAAAGTGTGGAGCCAAGTGTCCAGGTTTCTTGACTCCAAATCCAGTGCTCTCCTCCCTGTATAGTCTGTAATTGGCAGGCAATTAAATCAATTGCCCATAATCATACACCTAAGTGTTGGTGATGGGATTAGGAGTCATTCTCTGATCTGTTAGTATGGTGCCCGTCCACCATACTGACTAGCAAAACCAGTGTGCTCACAATGACTACCATGGACAATACCAGAGAAATGTCTAGTCTCCTTCATCCTCCCCCAAGCCAATGATGCATCACAAAACTGGGATAACCTCTGGTACAAGTACAGTCTTTCTAGAACTGTACCCAGAGGCAGTTTCCAAATTTAGACCCTGGAACTCCACCTCCATCCACCTACTGAATATTCAGTCACTGATGTTATCAGCAGACAGGAAAGAGGTAAGCTGAGCAGAGCTTACTCCTGCCATTACGCAAATTAAAACCTTCAATTTCCATCTTCGTTCTCCACCTCACTCAGCCTCTCCACTCTACCCCAACTCCTGAACCATGAAACGAAATCCAATCTAATCCAGAGTTGGTAGCAAGAAACAATCCATCCTGGGTTCTGGGTACTTTTCCCTAGCTTGTTGAGGGAGAGGGGCTTGCCACGTGGTTTTCATCCAGAGGGCTCAGCCTGATGCTTCCAGCATTCTCACACCTTCTCTTTGCATGTGTCTCAGCCCTTTAGTTTTGAAGATGGTACAGTATGTGATGGGGAGGCTTGAAATGAAGAGCAATAAGGAAAAACTGCTACCGGAAGGCAGAGCTAAAACATTTCATCCCGGTTCTCTGCTCATTAAAATGAAAGTAGCTATTACTGCATCATTAGTGTTGAGAGGAAGGAAGCTTCAGGATCATGACTTAAAACCTGATTCCTGAGACAGTTCCACTGAGTGCAGGTACCATAGCACAGAGCCCAGTATTCACAACTTACTACCCTGCCCGTTTTTGTTGGTGCTATAAATACTTGCACTAAAGATGGCATCCACTTTGCAAACAGGCACTCTACCTTCAAAGCCCAAGAAACACATATCCAATTATATCAATCTAGAGTTCTTGTACTTCCTGCCTCCTTCACAGTGCCTAGGAGAGGGCTAACTACATCATACCCATGAAAAAAGGCAATCTCTGCCAACTCTTTTGTGAGTTTAAAGGTCCATCTTACATTTAAACCATGCTGATGCTCCCTGAACACCAGGTTTTGAGTTTGCGTTTCTGAAGCGTTCTCATGGCGGCTATTCAGGGCACACTGACTTCCTTAATGCTGGTGTCCTGCCAGGGACCACGTTTCTGTCTGGACGAGAAGCTGCTGCTGTTTTGATCTGGTGTGCCGGCCTCCCCTTCGGGAAATTGTTTTGAGGAACACAGGTATGTGGGATGTCTGAATTTTGAAATGGAGATGGGCTTTCATTGTACAATGAACTGTGCGCTCTCAGATGGGTGAGCTGCACGTGGCCCCCCCCCCACCCCCCTACCGCCACGTTAGTGATTCTTGTCTAACCTAGGCCTGTAGCAAGGCTGAGAGGGGGAAGGGAAGAGGGACTGGGAGACGGCATCTCCCTTCAATCAGTTGTCCGATTTTAGCCAGAGAGCTTCTTGCAGTATCTGGTGATCTTTATGTACAAAATACTTATATAAGCTTGTATAGTATACCCTGCATAGATGGAAGGGGCTGAATCTCATTGATAAAGATGAAAGAGCTCCTACCTAATCACTTTAGGCATATCGAGAGATTTGGTCCTGAAACAATGAAATGATTTCAAGGTTTCTAATATTTATTCCCTAAGGTTATTGTCTATACATGCAGTAAAATTGGGTGGTTCATGACTTAAAAGTCCAGGAAGTAAGTTCATATTAACCTGGGCCGGCAGCAACTCTAAAAAGGACAAGGAACAAGGAGCTGGGGGGAGAGCATCTCCCTTCAATCAGTTGTCCAGATGTAGCCAAATACCTAGTTAGATATTTAGACATTTGGTAACACACGCATACATACATTTTTATATTAGGCCCTACCAAGATGAAAGGAAGAGATTTAATCATGTTGTTGCTGCTGATTTCCATGACACATGTCCATAAGATGGGCAGATGCAGTGCTACCTAATGATATGATCTCCAGACTTCTGGAATTTGTCTCCTAAAAGCCGTCTTTTAGGAGTCACGTGATATGAGTCTGCAGGTCCAGGCAAGTGATGATGCATTTAAGGTGGGCCTGTACAAGTCTACGCGAGGGAAGGAGGTGGTCTGAGGAGAGATCATCTCCCTTCAATCGGCTGTCCAGATGTTGCCAAATATCTCAACATAGTATTTGGCAAAACGCATACATATAAAAATATTTTATATACATTATGCACCACCATGATAGAGGGTAAGGGGTAAGTCATCTCTTGATCATGAAAGAGCTTCTTGAATGTACTTGCACATTTTGGGCAGATGGAGAGATGAAGTCCTAAGCTAATTAAATGATTTATAGGCTCCCAAAAATGTAAGTGTATTTTCTGTTATCTTTAATATGTGAATACTCATGAAAATGTCACCTTTCAAGCTACTTTTAAAATGTAGGTAATATTAAGATAAAAATGGTAATAAATATTTGATTTCATAGACTCTATTACATGTGGCCCAACCTTTTACAAGCTAAAATAGTGCCCAATTTTGATAATACACCATTACCTTGCTTTAATACTATCAACAACTGCAGCACAGTTACTATCAAATTCTGATTTTTTTTCTTGCTTTCTGCCAGGGTTGGTCAGAAACTGCTTTAGCCCCTAGTCTATAGCACCTTGGGCTGCAGGAGACACTCTGTAGAATCCAAGATTTCTTAGGGGTGAAGGTAAGAAAGCAAGTGAGGGAGAAAAGAAAGGAAAAAGTCTTACTTGAAGGGGCATGCCAGGGACTCAGCACTCAGATATACCTGCAATGAATCTAAAATGATAGCACAAAGACACAGAAATGTTTTTCCCTTTGGCAACATGGTACCAAAACATGTATACCAAAAAAAAAAAAAAAAAAAAATTGTATACATTGCTGATGAATGTTTATAAACCAGCAACGTAATTTATAATATTTGCTATTATAAATTTATAATTTTTAATAACTCTGATTTCTAATATTTGCTAATTTCCTTGGTATAAATATTCCCACCATGGCCAATTCCAAACTACCAGCAAGAAGTACTGACTTTTGAGTTCAGAAGAGATGTAACTCACAAACCATTACATAGTATGTCTGCCACACAGACACAAAAGATGCAAATACTTTTAAGAGCCTAGAAAATAGCAAAATGTATTGAGCGCTACTTTTGTTTTTAATATAACTTATTTAATTCTAAGTGCATGTCATTTAATTTTTAAAAATGGCTATGTTTAACAGTTTGCAAAATTCTTGAAAATTTAATACTCAGTAAGCCTGTATAAGTTGGCTCCAATATTCCACACCTAAGTAAGAGGGAAGGAAAAAATCAGACTGAAAACCATTAAATAATATTTACTGCACTTTCTTTCTTTCTTTCTTTCTTTCTTTTGTTAGGGAGATGTAGTAAAAACTAGACTTTTTAGGGTTCTAAAAATGTCAACATGTTCTGCTCATTAGTCCCTCAAAAAAATGTAAAATGTTCTCAAGAAAATGAGATGTTTCAAAGGATTTTAGAGCTACAGATGTATTTAAAATAGAGGTAAATGTCTAATTTCATAAAGCCTATCTATCCTAAAAGGTTTTCATGTGCTTTACAAACTAACTAGAATAATACATGAATTATTTTACACTGACTGATTTTTACTGCTCTCAAGCAACTCAGGAACGCTCAATTATTAAACAAATCCTGGACTGGACCCACGTTCTGCCAGAACCAGCAACCTCTTTAGCTCCAGGTGTTACCAGCACAAGGAATGCCAACCTTAACAAGGCTCAAATTACAGAGAGGAGAAAAAAAGAGTATGAGCTGGAAGGAAGGGAGGGGAGAAGGGAGTAAGCTACTTGTCAGAGTGCCACCAGTTACAGCCTTGGGCACTAAGTTATCAAAGACCTGTTCCCTTAGTTCAGCATTACAGGTTGCACTGCTGCGTTGGCAGATTAATGCTTCCTGTCATGCAATCATCTCAGTTGTGCTTTCACAGCTTATGTTCTTGAGAGGACAAACATCTGGGTAAGTGATAATTCACGTTTTCCTGACGTTTGCAAGTGTCTGGATGGATCATGCCACGTAGACAAAAATCTGTATAATTAACTTGAATGTTCACACTTCATCCTGTGATCTTGCTACACCAGAGAAAAAGCAGTAAGTGCTTCTAAAATTTGCTAAAGTAATGCAGTCGTGTGTTATCAGACAACCTTAATTAAGGTGCAATTATTATTGTTCTATTTGGGTGTGTACTGTTATAAAAACCTCCCTCTTACTAAAACTTAAAAATAAACCATCGTGTCTGGAAAACTTTAAAACAGCTTTGTGAAAAGTTATTCATCAGAGAGTCATGTTAAAGATTGAATTTATGTTAAAAAATCAGTAAAGGTAGTTGTGCCAGTTCATTTTGCTACGCGTTGAGTCCGGATGGACACTGTATTTGTGGGCTAATAATCATTTTATTTACTTATTCAATAAGGCTGTGTTAAAGTATCATAATGCTGTCTTGTTTTTATGAAGATGACACCACTGATCTCTGAGCAGTGGGCGCATGTGCATATTTCTGGAACTATGAGAGAACTTACGCTAAGTCGGGTCACATTTTCTCATCCAGTGAAAGATTGGCAATACTAACTTCTTATGTGGTCAGCAGAATACTTCTGATGTACTTAGCCTAACTCAAAGCCATGCATGTAAACAGAGATAGGCTTCTATCATAATCACAGTTACAAACATACTGATAATACTAAATTCCTTTCAATGGTTAAAAAAAAAAGGGTATACAACAAAGCAAGACAACCCAATATGAAAGTGGTTATTTTCGATTGTTGTCATCCACTAAAGATCTGTGTATGTCCACTGGTGCAACTTGCCAGAGTGCCCATGAGCAAATAAAACGACTGTATATATTAAAAAATTCAAGATAAATAAGGAGTGCTAAAAAAGAATACAATTAAATTATTAGTTGTGTGGTTAACGAAAGTGAACCTTTGATAAAATAGTCCCGATGGGGAAGGAGAAGAGTTTTTGTTCGTTTTTAAATGGCTGCCGTGGTAAAAACGTCACCTCTTGTAGAAATTTACCTTCGGTCTCCTTCAACTCGCTTTTTACGAACTAGGTAAAAAAGAAATAAAGGTTAAAAAAAACAAGGCGAAGGAATACTCCTTAAATTTCAGATAAACAACATTAATTACAGAGAGTAACAATCCCACACACTTGAAGGTACAGTTATCTGAAATTTCAAAATTCCACTATCCACTGGATTATTCTATCATTTCCAATGATAGAATAAGTGTCTTGTGAGATTTACATTTAAATAAACCTATGTCTGGTAGTTCAGAATTTGAATGTTATAACTTTCCCATTCCTATCAAGAGGGTCCAGAGGAGATCCACAATGTAGTGAACTTCTAAATAATCTCTTGGTCATTTATCCACAGCCCATCTTCTCAGGTTCTGTGCAACTCAATCACCAACTGACTTTGACTAATGCCCCAGGATGGCACACTCACAATCTATTAATTCTGATTACAGCTGGAAGACCAAGAGGGTCTGCTACTGGGAGATCAAAATTTCTAAACGTGTTTTAAATAAAGCCTCCCAAGAATTAACCTCCGGGGAAGGCGCGACTCAGATGGCCAGCAGGCTGAGATTAGAAGTTGCCTGGCTGCCCGTTCCCGTTTCTGCAACCCGGTTCTCCCACCTTCCGCTTCCCCACCTGCCGGCTCTTCTGGTGGGTGGGAGGAAGGCTTCCTCAATTTGGAAAAAAATGATGCCCTGGCGGTGGTTCTGCCCCAACTCTCTTTAAATGGCCCAGCCTACTCCTCCCAAGGCTGCAGATAATTCAGCCAAAGGGGTCGCCCACAGCTCCTGCTCCTGGGCTCAGGATCACCTCTCTGTTTACTTCAAACCTCTTGTTGTGCCTGTTTTCCTTTGGTCTCCGTGTTGTTCAGCTGTGGACCCCCTCGCTTTTCCTAGACACCTTCTGACTGTTGCCTCCACCCTTCCCCAAAGATCTGTTTGCTAGGACTCTTCCTCAGCCTCACCCTCTGCACCCTGAAGGCAAGAACTGCCACATGCCTGGCCGGCCACCCGATGCCCACACACTGTACTTTGGCTGGGCCTCAGGGTCTCGGCTAAGCATGTGCGGGCAGGGAACTGGACACCAACCTTCATCTGCCCCCTTCTATCTTAAGCTTCTGTCTTGCCCACTATCTGAGTCCTCCCCACAGCCAGCACTATACGGGTGGAAGAGTGTGCCCAGTCCCCAGGTCTAAGTTCTGACATTCTGTCCCTGAACCTCAGACTGGGGACTGAAACCTGCTGTTGGCTGACTGCTTGCCAAGTGGACTGTCTACACCTGGATGTCTTTTTGCCATGCTGCTTCAGGTGGCTGGGACGTCTCCAGATCAAGCCTTCCCCATCTGTCCCATTCTGCTGTACTGGGGTTGACTAGGACATGCCCCACCTCATTCTAACAGAAGAAATGCCACAGGTTCTCAGCAAAGAGTGGATGGCAGGAAAGATGAAGGGGAAGCCAACTGAAAAAGCCATCTCTGAGTTTACCTTCATATCATAGTTCCATTAATTCATTCCATGTGTAAATTACCAAAGTATCAGACATAACCGTATTTCAACCCAAGTATAGGGCACAGTTAGGACGCAAACATAAGTGAAATGGAAAGGGAATTTCCATGTCATTGTGCCCATCCTTCTACTGGTGTAGATAACAACAGAGGGTGATTACAGGTATTAAGTAAGTAAAGGAGAAGCAAATACGTAAAGGAAACTAAGCAAAAATCAAGGCTGTCTGCAAAACAGAACACACAGTTCTTGAGAGAACACTACAATAAAACTTAAACACTGTGAAGATGGGGCTTCCGATGACCATGGAATAGCGTGCTTTTGATGAAGGGCTAGCACGAACGGCCCACGGAAGGGAGGGATGTTATATCTGAAGTGGAGAAATGAACGATCGTCATGCTTTTCTACTTGCTAACAGCACGTATTATGGCTGCATTACCCAGGTCATTATTCTTTGTGATGGCAGCTGCCACCCTTGTTCGTGGCCCTTGCTTGGTAAACTGATATCCAAATTTGAGGATCCTTGAATTCTCCTCGAGCATCTGGGCAATTTCCATCTCTACAGCTGTTCCCAACTGCTGTCTCTGGTGGCAGGTGCAGATACATACATAGGATGACAAGAAGAGAGAGGAAACAGTTACTTGGGAGGGGTAGGTAAGTGAAGGGGCAGAAACCTCCAACCGAATGGGCAAAGTCTCTTGCGATATTTTCTCCTATGCACTCCTTTGCCCCTTGCCTAGAAGCAAAATCCAATAGAAATAGAAATAGAAGATTAAGCCAATTATTTAGGAAGGAAAAGATGATTCCAGATGTAAAATTAAAGCAAAACTAGTATTTGGTGTCTGCAACTTACCCCCAGTATCTGTAGTTTAAACAGGTGTTTTAAAGTAGCGAAACTGTCTTACAGCCATCGATACAATTAATGAATTTTTTATTCTGGGATCCATATCCAAAAATAATTAAAGATCATCAATCAATGGGCCATTCTCTCTCGGGACAGTCTTACTTGGAGATCCTCAGGAGGCTTTATTGTGGTTTGAACCCCAGCCAGGTGAATTCTCAAACACCAAAGGGGTTATTGTGCTACAGAAAAATCCCCAAGTTTTTTATGTTTCTGAAAATAAGTCTTTTGTTTGTCTTTTAAGTTGAAACACAGAATAATACAAACATTAAAAGTAGAATTTTTAAAGTGGTGACATGTAAAAATAAGAATTTAAAATTAAATTTAAAGGACATTAGTATATTTTTCCTTAATATATACATTAAATACTTTTAAGTAAAAAGTACAGGTTTGTTTAGAAAAAAACAAAAACATATACAAAATATAAAAGCTCCCTTTCCCTATATTCCCACTCCCCACAGAGAAAGCCAGTTTAGCATATAGTAGGTGGTCTTTTAAACACTTTCTGTGCCTTCACATGTCTGTGTAATCTCATGTACGTCTGCGCTTTTTTCACAGACGGGGTTCTACTAGCATATTGTTCTGAAACGTTTTTATTTTTCATTTAACATTAATAATATCTTTTCATGGAGGTAAATATACGTTTACCTCATCCAACAGCAGCAGAGCATTCCATTATAGTAATGAATCATAATTTACGTAGCCAGGTCCTAATGACTGTTACACTGCCTTCCATTTCTTCTATTCCAAACAATGCCGCAGGCATCTTCCCTTGAATACACAGTAGTATGTCCTGGCGCATGTCTGCCAGTGTGTCTGGAAGGCAAATTTGAGCTGGTTCCAAAAGTAAGCATGCTTTAATTTTGATATATTACCAATTTACCCTCAAAGGTTATGACAATTTTTACTCCTGCTAATAGTGTTTGAGAGTTACTGCTTCCCCTACCCTAACCAACATGGTATATTACCAATCTTTCATCTTTGTCAATACAATAGGTGAAACTTGTATTTCACTTGTATATGTTTAATCGCTTTAATTTGCTCTTCTCAAATTATCAATAAGAACAATTAATTTCCTCATGCATCTCTGTTTCTTTTTTTGGAAATCACTCATCTCTGTCATTTGCCCATTTTTTTCCCAGGTTACAGTCCCTGTATTTTTTTTAATTGATTTGTAAATTTCTTATATATTAGGAAATTAGCCCTTTGTCAGATTTGCTGAAAATACTTTGCTCAGTTTGTCTTTTTTTTTTATTACTATAAAGAACTTTATTTCCCTTTCATATGGTCAAATTTATCAATCTAGATATTATGTCATGTTTAGAAAGTCTCTCTGATATTTTCAACTTGTTTTATGGTTTTGCATATTTTAATAGTTAAATCTTGATTTCATCTGAAATTAATTTTAGTGTAAGAATTAAAATAGAGCACAAACTTTATTTTGTTCCAAAATGCTAGCAAGTTTCCCTACCACCTTTTACTTAATTTTTTCCCTCCATGATTTGAAATAACACTTTGCTGCAATATTCTCATGGAAAAGTTGAGTGGTTCTGGACTCTATTACATTGCCAGTCTATTTCTGTGCCAGTATCATGCAACTGGATTGCTTTATATTTTAAAATATGTATACCTTTTACATTCACAAAATTTAAGTATGGAGTAGATAAAGGAGAAAAGTTTATGGAGAAAGCTTCATGTCCTAGGCAAGTTCTAAGGTTTAACTCTTTGCTTTTCATCTTCCTTTTCATCCAACAACCTGTCAAATGAGTGTCTTACCAAAATATCAACACAATGTGGTACTTGCAGTAAGAAAACAGTTTTGGGAATGCACAGCGTAGAGATTAGCGTTCTAAGCAATGTGAGTCTATGGGAGGGAGAAGCAGCAAAAAAGAAAGAGATACTGACCTCACAGCTTCATGAGCAACTTTAAATCATGACACACTTTCAAACAGTGGGACTGTATTAGGGATTGAGACCCAAGCTAAGGTTGGGGCTGCCAGAGTCGTGGTTTATGCCACCGGTCTGGGCAAAGGGGTTCTATCCAATGGCAGCAGGAGCTCATGGTACACTGACTGAGAGGGATGACTGAAGAGTCTCTTTACTTGGAGTCCTGCACTTGGGTAATTTGGAGGATGGCGGGATGATGGTGATATAAAGAAGCTGAAGAAAATTAAATTGGGAGGGTGGCATATAATAGAGGGAGATAAAGTAATGTAACACAGGGCATCTTTCTTTCTCAGCCTGAATCATTTTTCTCTTTTTTTGATTTGAGGTCTTTTGTGCTGTATAAACCCAGGGCACCAAAGGGGCACCAAAATTTCTGACAATTGGGATAGTCTGTTTCACTTTTTTAAGCTGCTAAATACAAAGGAAAAAGAAACAGAAGCTTGTGCATACACTTCTTAAGATAACCTTCTGTTTTCTTTAAATAACCTCTTTTCCCTACTCAAATTTATTTCGTTACGAATATGATCACCACTTGTTCTTCTCACAGGGCACCTGGTTAAGTCCTTACATGTTCACCCGGAGCCCAGGCAGGGGCAGGTTCTCAGCAGGCCTTCATTCTGGTGCAGGTGTCTGCTGCGATAGTACCAAATAGGTCTCAGCTGCTGGCCCTGCCTGAGGAAACTGTCTTAGAGATTAGTTTATTTCAAATTCTTCATTAGACACATAAGGAAACTGAGATTTACTTCTAACAGGCTATGAGTCAATGAACAAAACTGTGGGTGGAAATCAATATCGACTCTGAATTTCCTCATTCTTAGAAGAAAGCAAAGAATTTTCCAGTTCTAGAACTTAATTCCCTTTCTCATTATTGGTAAAGAATGTCATTTCAGAGGGATATTGGGGGATTAAAGTTGAAAATTAGGTCTTCCGGTCAAAATGGCAGCATAGGCAAACATGGCTTGCCTCTTCGCACAACCACATCAAAGTTACTACTAAAATACAGAACAACCATCACTCAGAACCATCAAAATCGAGTTGAATGGAAGCCTGACAACTATGGAATTAGGAGGGGTGCGGATGTGGAACACGCGGTTCCCTCACCCCGGTGTGGTGGATAAAAATTCAGGAGGGATATCTTGGGAGTGAGGAGCTCCAGCACCACATCAGGCCCCCCAGCTCAGGGTACCAGTGTCAGGAAGATAAGTCCCCACAACTTCTGGCTGGAAAAACTAGCAGGGATTGAGTTGGTGGAAGAAAATTCTAGAGCCCCAAACAGTTCCTCTTAAAGAACTCACACATACACTCACATATTCAGATTCATTCCCTCTGAGCTCCAACACTGGGGTAGCAGCTTGAAAGGCACCAGTGGTAAACAGGGAGAAAGTGAACTGTTTGGCATCAAGGTGTGTAGAGGCCATTGTCCCTTTTCTGGGCTCTCCCACCAAAGAGCCAACAGACTGGTGCTGTGTCTAAGAGTCTATCAAAACCTGGCTAACACGGTTTGATCTGTCTTGAAGATCCCCAGAGATTCCACCCCACCCAACTGACAGGCCCACCCAAGCAGCTTTTCCATTTAATGGCTGGTCTTTGCTAATGCTGCACAATACCCCAAATCCTCTAAAACAAGCAACAGCTGACCTCATTGACCCCAGGCCCAGCACTAGCAGCAGCCAGCCTAGATTCACAGCTTGGCTTCACCTGGAAATCTCCAAGCCCAGCACAAGTAGCAGTCATCTCAGATTCCTTTATAGCTCAGGCAGGGTGGCCCCAGGCAAAACACAGTTGGGGGCTGACTTTGGCCTGCACCACCCAGGAAAATCCAGGACCAGTCCACCCAGAAGACAGCTACAGGCCACACTGGAGAGCCACCACGTTGCTCTTGCATGGCTGATCCTCCACGGAGGGCAAAGGTTGGTGATCAGTGGCCACAGTCAGTCCTTGCAGCTGACTGGCCTGGGTAAATCCCTTCCATTGATCTGCCAAGAGCAACCAAGGTTCAACTACAAGAGGAGGTTGTACTCAGCCCACAAGAAGGGCTCACCTCGAGTTACCCAGCTTGGGTGATAGGGGAGGCTGTGCTACTGGACCCTTTAGGACACTCATTTCATTAGGCCACACTACCAAGACACGGAGTCAAAGCAGCTCTACCTAATACATAGAAACAAACACAGGGAGGCTGCCAAAACAAGGAGACAAAGAAACATGGCCCAAATGAAAGAATAGATCGAAATTACAGAAAAAGAACAAAATGAAATGGAGAAAAGCAATCTATCAGATCCAGAGTTCAAAACATTCGTTATAAGGATGCTCAAGGAACTTAGTGAGGACCTCAACAGCATAAAAAAGATCCAGTCAGAAACAAAGGATACACTAATTGAAATAAAGAACAATTTACAGGGAAACAACAGCAGAGTGGATGAAGCTGAGAATCAAATCAGTGATATGAAACATAAAGAAGCAAAAAACAATCAGAACAAGAAGAAATAAGAATCCAAAAAAAATGAGGACAGTTTAAACAGCCTCTGGGACAACTTCAAGAGGTCCAACATTCACATCATAGGGGTGCCAGAAGGAGAATAGAAAGAACAAGAAATTGGAAATCCATTTGGAAAAAATAATCACAGAAAATTTTCCTAATTTGGTGAAGGAAATACACCTGCAAGTCCGGGAAGCACAGAGGGTCCCAAACAAATGGATGCAAAGAGGCCCACTCCAAGACACATCATAATTAAAATGCCAAAAGTTAAAGAATCTTAAAAGCAGCAAGAGATGTTAGTTACCTATGGGAGAGCTCCCATAAGCTGTCAGTTGATTTTTCAAAAGAAACTTTGCAGGCTACAGGGGATTGGCAAGAAATATGCAAAGTCATGAAAAGCAGGGACCTACAGCCACAACTGCTCCACCCAGCGAAAATATCATTTAGAATCAAAGGGCAGATAAAGAGCTTCCCAGACAAGAAAAAACTAAAGGAGTTTTTCATCATCACCAAATCATTATTATATGAAATATTAGAGGGATTTACTTAAGAAAAAGAAGAAGATCAAAACTATGAACAATAAAATGACAAAATATACAAATCTATCAACAACTGAATCTGAAAAATAAGCTGAGCAAACAAGATGAACAGAGACAAAATCATGGATACAGAGAGCGGTTTTGACGGTTGCCAGTTGGGAGGGTGTGTCGGGGAATGGGTGCAGGGGAAGAGGTGTGGATTAAAAGGGTGGAAGGCAATGGGTGGGGGAGGAAGAGGTGAGGGGATTAAGAAATACAAATAGGTAGTTACAGAATAGCTATGGGAAGTACAGTACAGGAAATGGAGCAGCCGAAGAACTTACAGGCAGGACCCAGGGACATGGACAATGGCGCGGGGACTGCCTGAGGGAGTGGGAGGTGCTGAGAGGAGGGGGCAAGGGGGAAAAATCAGGACAACTGTAATAGCATAACCAGTAACATATAATTAAATAAATAAAGTTTGAAAAATTACACAAAGCCTTTCCTAGATCACTGAGGAAGTGATGAGGTTTATGCTTTGGAGGGCATTTAAGAGAAACTTTGTATGTCAGAGTGTTCTTCACATACATTATAAAAAGCTGCTCTATTCTACTTTTCAGGATTTCAGCCTATTCACTAGGTTATAAGGGTGACAGGTTTAGCAAATAAAAACATAGGACACCCAGTTTAATTTGAATTTCAATAAATACCAAATAATTTTTCAGTATACGTATGTCCCAAGTATTTCATGGGACATATGTATACAAAAAATTAATTGTTGCTTATCTCAAATTCAAATTTAACTGTATTTTTTTCTGGCAACCCTAACTAGATAGCATTTTACAAGGAACTAGGAATAGAGTATCTGGAACATTATTTCAGATGTGAGGTTTCACCACGGCCTAAACCAACACAAAAACTTAAATACACTTTGGAATAAAGTGTCCGCCTCTGTCTTAGGTCTCCTGAGAATATTTACTAAGAGCCCTCAATAGATTAAGAGCCTGATCTTAATCTTCGGTAAGTATCCTTGAACCAACACTTCTTTCCTTTTCATATTTTTCTCTAGCTTGTTTTCCTGCTCTCCCACTCCCTGAGGGCTCTTTCTTAGTTTACTAGCAGCTGGACCCATACCCAGATACAGAGCATCAAGCTTCCCCTGAATATGTACGGTCATCCCCCTGTGCCCCCCTCCATGTCCCTGCATTTGGAAGGCTGTTTTGGTGATTCATCCCTTCTGGCGAGGGGGAGGAAGGCTGCCTGTCTCCTGGTGGGGTTCCCCTGCTCCCCTGGCAACAAGCCTTGCGGGGAGTGCAGAGACTGAACAGTCCCCTTGTCCTTGTTAGCAGAAAGGGAGAGTAGAGCTGTCCATGGGGCCTGTTTTGGGTCTCCAGGCTTAGGCAAAAGTCCTGGGTAGAACCCTCAGGCTTTATCAGATCTTGGAGGGTCTAGACCAGGAAACTCCCCAGGAATGTCCCCAGACATTAGGGGACATTCTCAATAGTCACTTTCCCCACTGTCCCTCCCACTAACGCACAGGAGAATGCTCACAACGCAGGTCTCCCTGCTGTCTCCTCTTTTAGTTCCATTCCAGGGCCCTTTCTTCCCACTATACAGTGTCTAGATCCCTCAGATTCACTAACTCCCACTGCGGACACTTCCCTGTAGCCAAAGGGGCAGAGTACAGCGTCATGCTGAGAACTGAGACTTGCTGTCAGTGGGCAGGAGCCAGCTGAAGCCAGCAGAACAACTCCAGAGGCACTGCAGGCTGATGCTGGAAAAGAGAGGTCTTCGGGGGACAGGAAGTGGTAGCTCCAGGGAAAAGCAGCTTGCTTTGGCTGCTGACGGGAACTCGAGAAATGTAGCAACAGAGGCTGTGACTGCAGTGTGTGCGAGGCCTGATGCAGTGCTAAGCCAGACCATCTTCTAGAGCCCGAATTCCTTTAAATGGTCTCTGTGGCCAGCACCAGACTGCAACAGCCTGGTGTGCTCTTTCTCTAAGCTCTGGCAACCTCCATCCAGGGACAAGAATTCTGTCTCTGGGAGTGGCCACCCTACTTTGTCCTTGTAGCCATAATCCCAGTGACAGGCAACAGCAAGGCTGGGACAGGAATAAACTGATGATTCCTGCTAAGAGGCAGCGGTGATGATGGCCGAACAAGGCAGCTGTCACACCTCTGCCCTCACCTTCCCTCCTTCTACTCAAGTGCCTGACTGGCCCAGGGCTGGGGGCCCTCTGGCTCTTTATGTCTCAGGCTGCCCCACTGTGCACTGCTTAATTATTAACATGCTTTCTCCCACTTACCCCGCAGGCCAGCAGCTGTTATAATTTACAGGAAAGCCAGAACATCAGATCAAGTGATGGAGCTTTGTCTTTGACATCACCCCATTAGGGCGTTCCTTTCACATGTGCCCTGTGAGCCAGCTCACCTGGTTGTCAATCTTGATTTCCGTCAAGGTGTCATTTTCTCTTAGTGCCTCTACCAGGGCCAGGATCCCAGTTCCAGTTATAAAATTGGATTCTATGTTTAGACTTTTCAAGGTCTTGTTTACTTTCAGCATATCTGCAAAAGCCTTATTGGGCAAAAGAAAAAAGAAAAAGAAAAAGGAAAAAAAAGAAAAAAACCATTAGGGTTTCTAAAGATTTATTTCCTGAATTCTACACCCCAAATTAAATTTTTTTTACAGTACTTAAAACCTCAATTAAATCATACTTTAACTTCCACGTAACAAATACTTTACAACTGAAAAAATTGTTTAGTCCAGCAGCCTGAACTTATGAACAAATTCATAAATAGTTTAGATTTATGAATTTCACATATCTGCAAAACAAAAAAAGAAGAAAAGGAAAAGAAAAAGATACGACATAGAATTACCAACTTTGTTAAGTAAGGACATTTAAAAAAATCACTACTGTCTGTTACCATTATCAATTTTTTTTTTGAGAAAAGGCATTTTAACATTAAGAAATATGTGCAAAGGACATAATTTCAGAATTATTTAATTTTGGTCTTACAGTATGAATAGATTAAAAAAAAACTTTACCACTGGCTAGCATTTAGGCACTACTGATTTAGTCATATTATTTCAGGTCATCCAGAAATCAGAATTCCTCAAATATAACTTTGGAACAAAGCTCTCACTCAGGGTGGCAAACCAGTTCAAGGCCGCGGACTGCACATGTACACCTGCTTGCTCCCCTTGCTTCCAGTTTTACACTTCATGAGGAAAAGATAAAATTTTTTAAGCGACTGACACTCTCACAGTGCCAGGAAACAAAAAAAAAGGGCCATTATCTTGAAGAATTGCTAAAATACAGAAAACAGACTGGTGGAGAAATCAACACAAAGCTGCCTAAAGTGCCAGAGTAAGTTCTGACTGGGACATTTTGTTCCAGAACCATCTTAGGAACAGATGGAACAACTAGAGCAGGTGGAGAGCACATCATCTCTCCCTGTGGCTTCCCCTAAAAAGAGTACCTTGCTCACACATCTGTTGCTGAAAAATCTCCCAGGAAGAGCCTCTAGTGGGGGCACTAGGACCTGAGAGAGAAGCAGTGCAGAAACTGAGACACTTCCAGGCCATCTCTGGATACAGTGTGGATGAATGGCAGTGGGGGCGGGGGACGGGACAGCTATTGCCCAGAAATGAATTAGAGTGAAATCTATTCCTGAAGAGTGAAGCCCTCCTAATTGCAATTGTAGGAGACCTCCGGCTGCCTGCCAGCTCCTCATATATTCACTACAGAGAAGGTTGCCAGTCAATTCACCTGCCTGCTTACAAAAGCACTTATTCATCCATCCATTCATTCATCCACAAAATAAAATTTAAAAAAAGCTATTTATTGGTCTTCTACTATGTTCCAACATAAAGAAAACAAAAATTCCTATCCCAGGGAGCTGATATTTGAGGAGGAGGGAGGAATCAATAATTAATTAATAAAATACATTGCCTGCCATATGGTGAACGAGAGCTACACAATTTGACAGGAGGTGATCCTGGTTTACACAAATCAAACTTGTTCTCCATTCAGAAATAAGAACGGGCAACCTGTGATGGCTGGACATGTTAGGAAAACCAACATCATGAATGAGAGAAGTGTTATGAGATATTAATATTAGGAAATGTTAAGAGAAGGTCAGCATTCCTCCAATATGAGTTTTACAAGGACAACAACAAAAAAGACAACAGAATGGAAGAAACTATAAAGTAATGGGGAAAAATTTCCCAGAGTTGAAGAAAGCTACAAGTCTTTATCTGAAAGAACCCACTGAGGCTCAGAAGAATAAATAAAAAAAGACTAAGTGGACACATACAAGTGAAATTTCAGAATTCCAAGGGAAGAGAGACCTAAAAATTTCTAGCAAGAAAAAAATAAGTCATACGGAAAGAAAAATCAGATTAATGTTGGTCACTCTATTCCAAGGCCCTTGGGATCACGGAATAACTGGGCAGTCATAACTTGGTCTCGTCAGCTTTAGACCTCGTCAAACCCAGTACTTGTCACATTTTGATGAGAAAAAAATGTTTCGGCACTTGGTGCTTGCTCAGAGCTCGTCACACTTACTGAAACTTGTATGAGTCATGATGCTGCCCCGCAAGAGGAAATGCTTCAGCAGTCACTGCTTGCGTGCTACTTGTACGTTTGGCACTCGTGAGTTTTGGGACGCATTAATGATGATTACTGAGGTACTGCTATATAGATATATTTTTTAAAACATGGCTGATAATTGTAAGTGCTAATGATAAGTTTTAAATTCCGGATAAGTTTTAAATTATGTTATTTTATATAAGTAACATAAAAATGACAAAATAGATAACGCTCAAATGTGTGAAAATAATAGAATAAAATTTGGTGATAGAAGAGGAAGGAGGAATGGAAGGTAAAGTGAGTTCAGAAATGCCTTCATCTTTTCTAATGGAGGATCAAAAATTATCTAAGATGATAAATAAAAATAAAAATGTATGTATATTAGTGTTTTTCTATCCTGTTTATTAGAATGACCTGGAAGCCTAACAAATATGCCAATGCTTGGGCCCCACCCCAGAGGAATTAAATTGGAATCTGGTGGCCTGAATAGCTGCATTTTTGAAAAGCTCTCCAGATGACTAATATTCAGCCAGGATTGACAGACACTTTAATTAAAGTCATAAAGACAACAACTGGAAGAATGAAAACCAAACTGACAGTGATTGCTCTGGGGAATGAACAAGAACTTCTAAGCTCTTTAAATTGTTTTTATGGTGGAAGAAAACAAGAAGGAGAAAGGAGAAGGACTCCAACTTGGGTTTCTCAGGCTCTGCGCTATTGACATTCGAGGCAGGGAATTCTTTGTTGTGGGGTGTAGGAGGTTTAGCAGTCTCTGAGACCCACTAAATGTCAATAGTACCCCTCCCAGTAACGAGAGCCAAAAATATCTCCAGACACTGCCAAATGTCCCCTAGAGGGCAACGCTGCCCTGAGTTGAGAACCACTGGACTAGAAGAATAATCCTGTGTATTAGTCAAGCAGTTGCTTGAACTACAGAGAAAGTTCAAAGATTTGGACTGTCCTTATTGTGTATACCATGTAAGTTAAAGTGCATTTAGTCAGCATTAGGTCTTTAATTAGAATTAAATGTACACATTTTAATTAAAGCACCAGAAAGGAATGCATCAGGCCTTTCCTTGTGGACTCTTCAAACTTTGGGATTTACTTTCAGTATTAGAATAACAAAATGTCAGAGCAATTACGCCTTTATAAAAAAGTTTCAGGGCTTCCTGGCAAGCAGCCAGATCTTGCCAACTTCTTTTAAACTTGAGAAAACACTTTTCTCATACTGAACAAAACAAGGGAGACCCAGCCAAACATAACCTGGGCTGTAGGCCCAAGTTCATTTCAGTTCAGCAAATATTTGAGTATCTATTACATATGCTGGGGATGATAACATTAGTAAAACAAAGACTAGATTTCTTAAATGTTACAGAAATAATTAGAGTAAACATACATTTTTCAAGAGAAGGTTTTGAGGCAGGATAGTAAGAAGCTAGGAACATTCCTTGGCAAGTGGAATAGGGCAACTGAGACAGCTGAACACAATGGCCAAGCAATTTACAGCCAGATACAGAAGTCCACCTCCCTACAGATAACATCTAGGCCTCAGCTATACTTCAGCCCCAGACCCAGAAAAGCAGCAAACCAAGCTGACAATGCCAGGACCAGCTGCATTGCCTAACAACCCCAGCCCCGCCACTGACCAATGAGTGGAGACTACAACCTGGAACGAGCACACCTGGAGCACCGAGGCATTCTCAGCTGAAACTTTCCCTGAGACCTCCCCTGAGATGCAGGAGGGAGAGAAAAGCCTCAGGACAAAGGACCCAGAGCGTGCTCTCTCTCCGGGGAGTGGCCCATGCCATTCCCTTTCCCTTCTTCTTCTCCTACTTTTTCCCCCGCACAGGCCCGCATCTCCCAAACCCTAGGGGACCTCAAGACTTGCGGCCAGGGGAGCAATGGTCAGCTGGCAGCTTGCCCCAGGCTAACCCCCCAAACCTGTCCTCAAGGCCCTCTTTTCTCTGACTTCCCAGTGAACTAAGGCGGCCCCACCTAAGCTCTCTTGTTGCTTCTTCTACCCTAGGTCCTTCCTTGTTTCACTATCCCCAGCTTTAATAAACATACCCTCATAGTCACCTGGACTCCTGTTGTGAAATCTTTCCCACACTAAGTCAAGACCCCACACACCACCGGGCTGGCCCTAGGTAGACCCACTCAGGGCCAGGTCCCCTGTGCCACAGTAACAGTTTTGTTTTCTGTACTTCACAGTACTGCATGTGAATGCAGTTTTCTGCACTGTCTAAACCTGTGTCATCCGGATGGGAGCCACCAGACACACGTGGCTACAGAACCCTTGAAAAATGGTTGTCTGAATGGAGACGTACTGTAAATGTAAAGCACACACTGAATTTCAAAGATATATATGAAAACAATAAAGTAAAATACCTCATCTTTTCAACTTATATTTTGAAATAACATTTTTAATATATTGGTTTAAATAAAATATATTATTAAAATTAATTTCATCTATTGCTTTTTTTTTAATGTGGTACTAGAAAATTTTAAATTATACATGTGGCTTACATTTGTGGCTGTTATTCTATTTCTATTGGACAGTGCTGGACTAAACCCTTGATTTTTCTGGGGCATCCTTGTGAATAATAAGAGCGTTTTTGACCTATTTGGGCATTGGCATTCAGTGAGGGCAAGTTCTGTTAATATTCGCTTTTATAGATGTGGTTATACGGAAGTACTTGGCAGATGGTGAACTAAACTTGATTACAGATCACTTAAATTCACTTCCTGCCTGACTGCATGCTGTGTGATCTAAGTTGTTACTCAACCTCTCTGAACCTCAGTTGCCTCACCTGTAAAATGGGGAAAATGTGATGCACTTAGTTCGTCTACGTTTATAGTGAACCCTCAAGTGCCTCATTGAATCAGTTTTTGAACCTTACCTAGAATAGTGTCTTGAAGCTCTTAAACACAGTCTGAAGATCTCTGTTATCTATGGGGTAATGAATCAATTTTCAACTTATTTGACCATGGAATAGCTTCAGGGGGAATCATCTAGGGGCACCCAGGTAAGAGCGGGGCCATCTTGGCATAAAGCCCAAAGGGGCTTTTCCCTTCACACCTGGAAGGACAGCAGCTCTTCCTCATAATTGTATGGTGTGCTTGTTGCACGGTATGCATTCAACACAGTTGTTGCATTAAAAACAGTATCAAAGAGAGTATTATATTTGGAATGTATTTAGTTCACTTAGAAGGTTATCTTTTTAACCTAGAGTAGTTTAGATTGTTTACTAATAGTATTGACAATGGATTATAAACTAATCCCATCCCTGCCATTTTACTCTAAATAATGTATTAAATAGGAGTGACAAATCACTTATTTCTCCCTTTAGTCACTTACATACAAAGTGCATTGTGACTATTATTGCTTCATTGAAAACAAATCTTTTAAAAGGCAGAGATTATACAAAATCATATATAAAAAGAATCCTTAGATTGTTAATTTCACCTTATCCATGATCTACTTGTACTCTTCTTCTAATTTAATGATAGGTTTCAAATTCAATACTTTCAACTTACAAATTTAGATATGTAATAATTGCTGATAAAAACATCAATGTTGTAGCTTAGCCTCTCTTTTACATGAGTGCTTATGTAATCATGGAAATATTCTTTATTGTTGAGATGTTGGAGGGCACACTCATTCTTCGATTTAACAAATGTTTTTCCAGACATCTGCCCTGTGCCAGCACCATAACTTTCATACTGTGTTTTTATGGTATTTTAGATCTTCCAAAAGACATGTTACTTTATTATTATTTTTTTAAGATTTTATTTTTTTTAAAGTGAGGGAAAGGGAGGAAGAAAGGGAGAGAAACATCGATTGGTTGCCCCTCATACTATGTGCCCAGACTGGGGACCTGCAACCTAGGCACGTGCCCTGACTAGGAACTGAACTGGGGACCTGTCACTTGGCAGGACGATGCCCGACCTACTGAGCAACAATGGTCAGGGTTACTTTAATATTTTTATACGTGCCAAGTTCCTGTAGGATTTGGGGTCTTATACTATCCATTGATTGTGACAGAATGTTACTACAGATGCAAAAGTTTAGAAAATTTGTACTAAGCCCAGAACAAAATCCAAATATATATTTAGCTAAATGCCTAACCTAATCCTGTTTCTTTCTCCTAAAAGTGTATTGCTAACAAAATTCTACTTAAGTCAAAGTGCTTAACACTGGGTTCTGTTTTATTGTTCATTATAACTAATTTTATTAACTGTAGAAAATAAATTTACCAGATCTAAAAGTTATTAATAAAACAAATTAAAGAACTTCTAATGAATTTAATCTTTTCATGTTATATTTCTAAGAATTTTACTCACAATTGCCACAGGGTCATTGCTGCGGGTCGCAGCCAGGCTGAACTTCTTTACATGAGTGTTGGTCTCCAAAGCTTTTGCAAATTCCTTCAGGGTTGGAATTGGAATGTTCTAAGATGGGGGAGATACAGATAGTTTGTAAACCAATCAGCAGCACCATTACACCAAGCTAAGGACCCACAGACTTTAAGTAGTTTATATATTTAGGTGACTAATTGCATGATATCCTCTTTGAAATACATTTATCATCCATCTTCCAGCAAACCAAGCCATCCCTGGCCAGCTGCAACACTTAAAGTGTCCCGTAAGGCAATGTAACACAACATGACATTCTGGCATCACCTTTTTGTTTATTAACCAAGAAATTATGCACATACCATATTCCCCTCTTCTCTTTCATTCTCTATAGCCTAACCAGAATGAACTACTTGCTATTTTAAAAAGTATATCATGGTCTTTCTCTCCTCCATACTTTCAGATACGCTTTTCCCTTTGCCTGGAAACTTCTTTGTCCTTTCTCTGATTAATTCCTACTCTTCTTTTAAGACCCAGCTAACATATCACCTTCTTTGTTTATTGGCTCTCATAGGCAGGATCAAAGTTTTCCTTACCTGCAGTTCCATAACATTTGGGGGCTTACCACGTTGTGCTTTAATTATTTGTTTAGTGTTTTTTCTCCTAATAATAAGTTCTTCAGAATAAAAAAAATGAATCATACTCCCCCTTCTATAGAATTTAGCACAGTACTGACCCCTGGGGTCAGACCCTGGGGGAGGCAGACACTATGGGGCAGAGCTAGAGGCTGACGTGAGTCCTACTTGTGCTATAGACTAGTTCTGTGACTGCAAGCACCTTAGCCTCTTCAAGTCCCTCTCAGGACTAAATGAGATAATGAATTTCAAGTATTTAGCAAAATATCTGGTACACAGTGAGTACTCAGTAAAAGTCAGTTATTAGTATTAAATGCTAGAAATTGGCCCAAGAAGAAATGAAATGGATGTCAGACAATGTTCTCTCTCTCTCTCACACACCCCCCCACCCCTCTATTCGAGAGTGACATGACCCATTGACAAATAGAATAAAGTGGAAATCACAATGTGTGACCTCAAAGAATAAGTCATAAAATGCATTGTAGCCTCCTGCCTGTTCTCCTTCTCTTTGCTCACTCACTTTGGGGGAAGCCAGCTGTCACGATGTGAGAACACTCAGGCTGCCCTATGGAGAGGAGGAGAGGACTGTGTGCTAAGAAACTGTGGCTTCCTGTCAACAGCCACATGAGTGCACCATCTTGGAAGCAGTTCCTCCTGCCCCAGCCAGGCCTTTAAGATGACTGCAACCCTGGCTGAAAGCTTTACTCCAGCCTCATTTGAAACTGAGCCACAACTACTCAGCTAAGTCACTCCCTGATTGCTGATACTCAGAAACTGTGTGAAATAATAAATGTTTATCCTCTTAAGTCTGTAAGTTTTGGAGTAAGCTGCTATTCAGCAATAGATAACTAGTACACTATATTTAACACAGCAACTGTTTTCAAAGAATTCTAAAAATCACTCCTTTTTAAAACCCACTTCTTTTGAATAGGATATCCTGCCTCAAAATTAGTGACTCAAAAGATTTCAAACAGGTAATCAGGAATCTCCATTAAGTTTTCTTAATTCATGACAACAATCATAATGAAATACCTTAATGTTGTTGAGATTGACTTCTTGGAGACTGGGATCATTGGCTTTCATCTGCTGCAGACTTACTTCCACATTTGTGGGGTTGGGTGGTTCCTCAAATATAGGCTTGACCTTTTCACCTTTGACCACATCTGAGACACAAGTTTTAATTTGAAAAAGAAAATGTAAGGGCTCTCCTGTTAAAATCAGTGATGATTTTCTCCCAAGTGACCTTTCTTTCATAGGCATTGATTCTAATAACACTCTGTTCTCAATGATAGCAAGATCATTCTCAACTAAGCAACCATGGGGATGGTATAGCTCTGAGTGACCGTTTCAAAGGTTGATGTTTCTCAGCTGCAGTGAGAAGGAGTCTCAGCAGCTGGCACTGCATGGAGCCAAAAGTGCAGGAGACCCTACAGCAAACTCAGACCTGAAAAAACAAAAAAATCCCTGGGCAGTCACTGCTTTCAGAGTGTAATTACCAACCCCAGGATCTAATACGCAAAAAAAGAAATTATGAAACTCTTCATTTCCAAACCTTAATACTTTCTGGTTTTTGGCTCTATCCCATCCTCCTCTGATACCCATTATAGAGGGTTAGTTTTGAAGAACATATTGGAAGAGAAGTAAAATAGAAAAGAAAAATGGGAAGGTTTGCAAAAGCATTTAACATAAAATGTTTGCAATGTCTATATACTCGCATAATAAAATATGAAGAGTTAACATTCCAATATACACAGAGCTCCTATAACTCCATGAAACAATCCAATTGAAAATGAACAAGTAATATGATCAGAGGAATCTGTAACCCAATTAAAAATATAAAAATGATTAAACTCTGAAATAAAAAAATGAGATACCATTTAATTAGCAAATAAAAGTAAAAGACCATAACATTCATAGTTGGCAACAATGCGGGGGAAATTTAAACTGGTGCATGCTTTTGGGGAGAGTAATCTGGCATCACCTATCAAAATGTAAAATGTGGAAACTCTGTAACATAACAATGCTATATCTAAGTCTAATTCAGAAAAATCAGCATGAATACATAAAGATATACACTGAGAAATGTTCACTGACATATTATTGATGACAGTAAAACATGATAAAATGTCCATCAGTGTGAAAATGGTTAAGTAAGTTACAGCATAATCACACAATAAGATGTTATCTAGTCTCTAAAAGAATCAGGCAAATCTATAGGTACTGGTAAGAGAGGAGAACCATATATTTTTTTAAAAATTAATGGAAAATAAAATACTTAGGTATAAACCTGACATTTATAAGATCAGTATGAGGAAAACTATAAAACTCTTGAAAAAAGTTAAACAAGTACTAAATGGAGAGACAGGCCATGTTAATGGATAGGAAGATTCAATGTTGTCAAGATGTCAGTTCTTGACCAGCTTGACCTCTAGATTCAGTGAAATCCCAATCAAAATCTCAGCAAGTTATTTTGTAGAGATCCACACACTAATTCTAAGTTTATACGGAGAAGCAAAATACCCACACTAGCCAATTCAATATTGCAAGAAAAGAACAAAGTTGGAGGACTGGCACTACCCAACTTCAAGACTTTCTATAGAGCTACAGTAAGGACAGTATGATGTTGGTGAAAGTCAGTGGAACAGAACAGAACCCCAAAATAGATCCACATAAATATAGTCAACTGATCTCTGACAAAGGAACAAAGGCAATACAATGGAAAAAAAGATGTAACAACTGGGCAGCCACATGCAAGAAAAATGAATCTTAACACAGACCTTACACTTTTACAAAAATTAACTCAAAGTGGATCACAGACCTAAATATAAAATGTCAAAATATAAAACTTCTAGAAGATAACATAAGCAAAAACCTAGATGACTTTGGGTTTGGCGATGAATTTTTAAATATAACAACAAAGGCATGAGCCATGAAAGACTCGGTAGGCTAGATTTCATTAAAATATATTAAAAGTTCCTACTCTGTGGAAGATAGTGTCAAGAGAATGAGGAGGTGAACTACAGACTGGGAAAAAATATTTGCAAAAGACACATCATAAAGGAATGTTACCCAAAATATACAAAGAACTCTTTAACAGTCAACAATAAGAAAACAACCTGATTATAAAATGGGCCAAAGACCTTAACAGGCACTTCACCAAAGAAGATATACAAATGGCAAATAAGCATATGAGAAGATGCTCCACATCACATGTCCTCAGGGAAATGCAAATTAAAATGAGATACTACTACACCTATTACAGTGGCCAAAATCTGGAACAATGACAAAACCAGATGTTGGCAGGGATATGGAGCAACAGCAACTCTCGTTCTTTACTGGCGAGAATGCAAAATAATATAGCCACTTTGGAAGACAGCTTCATGGATTCTTAAAAAACTAAACATACTCTTACGACCATAAGACCCAGCAATCATACCCCTTGATCTTTACTCAAAGGAAATGAAAAGTTATGGCCACACAAAAACCTTCACATTAATTTTTATAACAGACTTGTTCATAATTGCCAAAACCTGGAAGGAACTAAGGTGTATTCCAGGGTGAATAAATAAATAAATCGTGGCATATTCAGATAATGGAATATTATTCAGCACTACAAAGATAGGAGCTATCAAGCCATGAAAAGATATGGAGAAACCTTGAACACATATTAGTAAGTGAAAGAAGCCAATCTGAATAGGCTACATACTGTATGATTCTAACTATATGACATTCTGGGAAAGGCAGAACTACGGGGACAGAAAAAGATCAGTGGTTGCCAAAGGTTAGAGGGGAGGAGAAATGAATAAGCAGAACACAGAGGAATTTTAGGGCAGTACAACTATGATACTGTAATGGAGGATACATATCATTATACATTTATTCAAAACCACACAATGTACACCATCAAGAATGAACCCTAGGACTTCCACTCAAGATGGAGGTGTAGGTAAACATACTTCACCTCTGTGCACAACTACAGCAAAAATTACAACTAGGCTACATAACGAATATCACCCAGATTCACCAGAAAGCTGAGCTGTGTGGAAGTCTGACAACCAAGGATTTAAAGAAGCCACATTCATCCAGATGGTAGGAGGGGTGAAAACACAGAAAGGCACGGAGAGGTGCAGAGTGGCGCAGAGAGGTGGCGGAACAGGTGGTCCCACACTCATGTGTGGTGGAGGAAAATCAGGAGGGATACCTCGGGAACAAGTGATCCCAGCTCCAGACCAGACCACCCAGCCCAGCACAAGGAAAATAAATCTCCATAACTTTTGGCTGTAAAAATAGTGGGGATTGGGGCAGCGGAAGAAACTGCAGGTCTTCAGGAGACTCCTCTTGAAGGGCCTGCCAAGGTCTCAGAACTTACGCAGACCCACCCCCTCTGGAATTCAGAAACAGCTGGAAGAGCAAAATGGCATACAGGGAAAAGGGGAGAAAGTGAAGTGACTGGCAACAGAGCGAGGGCCAGGAGACAGCTTCTTCCCAGGCAATCTCTAGAGGCCAGGCAGCAGCACGGTCCCCTCTCTAAGCCCTCCTGAACACAGAGCCACAAAGTGGTAAAATGGGTGGCTCCGCCCTGGCGATAACCTGAGGCTCTGCCCCACACAATTTACCGGTGCCTTTTCTACAACAAGCCATGTGACAAAGACAGGGAGTTAAAGCAGCTCTACCTAATACATAGATACATTGCAGGGAGGCTTTCAAATTGAGGAGACAAAGAAATATGGCCCAAATGAAAGAACAGAACAAAACTCCAGAAAAAGAACAAAATGAAATGGAGATGAGCAACCTATCAGTTGCAGAGTTCAAAACACTGGTTATCAGGATGCTCAAAGAATGCATCGGGTACTGCAACAGCTTAAAAAAGAGCCAGGAAGAAATGAAGGTTGCATTAGGAAGAAAAAGAAAAGTCTACAGGGAAACATCAGTGGAGTGGATGAAGTCGAGAATTAGGTCAATGATTTGGAACATAAGGAAGAAAAGGCATTCAATTAGAACAGCAAGAAGAAAATAATTTTTTAAAAAATGAGGGTAGAAAAAGGAGCCTCCAGGGGGGACATCTCTAAATGTATCAACATCCAAATCATAGGGGTGCCAGAAGGGGAAGAAGAAGAGTAAGAAATTGAAAACTTATTTGAAAAAATAATGAAAGGGAATTTCCCTAATTTCATGAAGGAAATAGACATAAAAGTACAGGAAGCACAGAGAATCCCAAACAAGTTGGACCCAAAGAGGACCAGACCAAGACACATCATAATTAAGATGTCAAAGGTTAAAGATAAACAGAGAATCTTAAAAGCAGCAAGAGAAAAGCAGATAGCTACCTACAAAGGAGTTCCCATAAGACTGTCAGCTTATTTCTCAAAAGAAACATTGCAGGCAAGGAGGGACTGGCAAGAAGTATTCGGAGTGATGAAAAGCAAGGATCTACAACCTAGATTACTCTATTCAGCGAAGCTATCATTTAGAATGGGAGGGCAGATAAAGTGCTTCCCAGACAAGGTAAAGCTAAAGGAGTTCATCATCACCAAGCCATTATTATATGAAATGTTAAGAGAAATGTGTAAGAGAAAGATCAAAACTATGAACACTAAAATGGCAACATTCATAACAATCAGAAACTGAATCTAAAAAACAAACTAAGCAAACAACCAGAACAGGAAGAGAATCATAGATAAGGAGATCATTTTGAGGGTTATACAGTAACAAGAAAAATAAAGTATTAGGAATAAATTTAACCAAGGAGGTAAAATACCTGTACTTGGAAAACTATAGAAACTGATTTAAAAAATTAAGGAAGATACAGATAAATGGAAGCATATATTGTGTTCATGAACTGGAATAATTAACATCATTAAAATGTCCATACTACCTAAAGCAATCTATAGATTCAACACAATTCCTATTAAAATACCAATAGCATATTTCACAGATCTAGAACAAATACTTCAAAAATTTATATGGAACAAAGACCTCGAATAACCTCAGCAATCTTGAGGAAGAAGAACAAAGTAGGAGGGATCACAACCCCTGATATCAAACTATACAACAAGGCCAGTATAATCAAAAGAGTCTGGTACTAGCATAAGAACAGACACATAGATCACTGGAAAAAAAATAGAGAGCCCAGAAGTAAATCCATGTCTCTATGGTCAATTAATATTTGACAAAAGGATACAATGGAGTAAAAATAGCCTCTTCAATAAATGGTGATAGGAGAACTGGACTGGTACATCCAAAAGAAATGAAACCAGACCCCCAACTTACACCACACACTAGAATAAACTCAAAATGCATAAAAGACTTAAATGTAAGTCGTGACACCATAAAAGTCCTAGAGGAAACCATAGGCAGTAAAATTTCAGACATCCCATGCAGCAATATCTTCACTGATATATCTCCTAGGGCAAGGGATATAAAGGAAAGAATAAACAAATGGGACTATATCAAATTAAAAAGCTTCTGCATGGCTAACGAAACCATCATCAAAATGAAAAGGGACTTGACTGTATGGGAGAACATATTTGCCAATCATACATCAGACAAGAGTTTGATCTCCAAAATAATATAAAGATTTCATACAACTCCACTCCAGGAAGACAAACAATCCAATTAAAAAAATGGGCAAAGGACCTGAATAGACACTTCTCCAAGGAGGACATGTAGAGGGCCCAGAGACACATGAAAAGATGCTCAACATCACTAGTCATCAGAGAGATACAAATTAAAACCACAATGAGCTATCACCTCACATTGGTTAGAATGACCATCATTAATAAATCTACAAACAAGTCCTGGCGAGGATGTGGAGAAGAGGGAACCCTAGAACACTGCTGGTGGGAATGCAGACTTGTGCAGCCACTGTGGATAACTATGGAATTTCCTAAAAAAACTAAAAAAAGGAACTGCCTTTTGACCCAGTGATTCTGCAGCTGGGATTATACCCTAAGAATTCTGAAACACCAATTAAAAAGAACTTATGCACCCCTACGTTCATTGCAGCGCTATTTAAAATAGCCAAGTGCTGGAAACAGCCTAAATGCCCATCAGTAGATTAGTAAGTCAAAAAACTGTGGAACATTTACACAATGGAATACTATGCAGCAGAAAGAAAGAAAGAGCTACTATTCTTTGTGACAGCATGGATGGAGCTGTAGAGCATTAAGCTAAACAAAATAAGCCAGGCAGTGAAAGACAAATACCATATGATCTCACCCGTAAGAGGAATCTAATGAACAACATAAACTAATGAACACAATAAAACCAGAGGCATGGAAACACGGAACAGACTGACAGCGACCAGAGGGGAGGGAGGTTGGGGACAATGGTGGAAAGAAGGCGTAGGGACTAGTTAAAGAGCATGTACGAGTGACTCAGGGACCTGGGACGACAGTGAGGGGACTGACTGTGGGGAGTGGGGGCTGGGAGGGGCGGGGGGGGGTGAAGGGGGAAAAACTGAGACAACTGTAATAGAGTAACTGTAAAAATATCTTTCATAAAGAACAAAAAAGAATGAACCCTAATGTAAACTATGGACTTTGGATGATAATGCTGTGTCAGTGTAGGTTTATCAGTTGTAACAAATGTAACTATCTGTTGCAGGTAGTTGATAATGGGGAAGGCGATCCATGTGGAAGGGCAGGGGCGGGGGGGGGGGGGGGGGGGGGGGATATAATGTATCCCTGTGACTTTCTCTTCGTTTTGTTGTAAGACTAAAACTGCTCTAAAAAATGTTTTTTAAAAAATCCTCACCTGAGGATATATTTATTGATTTTAAAGAGAGAGGAAGGGGAGCAGAGAGAGAGAAACACTGATTAGTCGTCTTCCTTCCATGCCCTGACTGAGGATCAAACTCTAAACCTTTTGGAGTGTGGGACAATTGCTCTAACCAACTGAGCCACCCGACCAGGGCAAAAATAGTGGTTTGTTTTTTTTTTAAGTTAATGATATGGCTCTGACTGCTATGGCTCAGTGTGTTGGGTGTCGTCCCACAAACTGAAAGGTCTCCAGTTCAATTCCCAGTCAGAGCACATGCCTGCGTTGCAGGCCAGGTCCCAGGTCCTGCTTGGGGGTGTCTGAGAGGCACCTTCTCTCACACATCAATGTTTCTTTATGGCTCTTACTATCTTCCTTCCTTTTTCAAAAAGTTAATGATATGTATATATATGTATAAAATCCAAGAAGGTTATGTACCAGACTTCTAATGGCAAACATGTCAGAATGTTACCCTCTGATGTTGAAATTAACAATCATGAACATTTTTTATCTGTAGGCAATACAGATAAAAATATTGCTCCTTGTCTGGGTAAATTATCCCATATAAATGATGATTTATAAATATGCTGCTGAGACTAGAAAGCATCTTCCAAGTTTTCATCAAAGAGAATAAAATATGACTAATCTCAGAAAAGCTGTACTCTGCAGTGCATTTTCACAGCAACTGGATCACACTGTAACCAAAAATTACTTCATTACTGGTCCGTCCCTACTACAGGCAGACAAGCTCTTTGGGGCAGTGACGATCTTTCATCTTTGCACCTAAGCCTAGCACACCCCTGACACATAGCAGGTATCTGAAAGATGACTGCTGAGAAGTGGAGAGCCTAACGAAGGCCACTCCTCTACTTCTCCAGCAAACGCTGCTGGGAAGGCAGTGGTCTGGCACTTTCTGCGCCAGCAAATCCACGCCAATGTGTCTTTCATGCTCCCTGGGGGAAGTTGGTATTCAAATTCTAATGACAAGAATCCATTATTGAGACAAAAAGACACAGAAATAGAGAAAGGAATTTATCTAAGATACTACGGTTGATTAAAACATCTTTAGGAACATGAAACTCTGTTTGCATTCTGTGTGGACTATGCAACCTTTCTATCAGCAATTTTATCTTTTGACTGAAGGGACCTACCAAAAGACTGTGTTTTGGACAAAACAACTGATTGTTACTAGTTACACTGCCAGACAGAGCTCTCATTATCAGCTACTCTATTCTGGTTTGACTGCCCCGAGCTCAGTGATCCTTGGTGAACTGACAAAAGCCACCTTCAAAGCCTGCAAGACAGAAGTCTGGATTCACTGGGAGGCCTGGTCTCTCTCCTCCCAGCAGACCTGGAGGCTCCCAAGTCTCAGAACCACAGATTCCACATCAACTTACTTCTCACAGGCCCTTTGCCACCTTTAGAGTTGGATGTTTCTTCATCAAACTTTGGATTGTTGAGCAAATTGTGTACTCCAAGAACAGCTGAAAGCAAAGAAAATCAGTAAATAAACATTAGGTTTGGGAAAGAATGTTAGGATATCCATGTTGTTAATAAGTCTCTAGATCTCCCCTTCCCTTGCATAGTGTGTGGTACATGTATAATGTTAAATAAGCTGAAACACACACACACACAATATTTAAATAAGCTGATATATAGCGTTAAATAAGTTCCTATATATACACATATAGTGTTAAATAAGCTCATATATATGTATAGATACACACACATATAATATGAAGAGCCTTCCTCCCAAGACCACTGGCAATCTTCACAGGCCTTCTCCATCTTTACCTGTGACATTATTTAGGATCTGAGAGGCAGTGGTCCAGTTATGGCCCCAAATTACTGAAAATCTGCTGAGACCTCCAGTAAAGTAGATTAAACTCTTCAGCTTTCTCACCTGTAATATGTGAGGGGAGGACTTAGTCTAAGGATATTTTAAGCTCTAATATCATAGAGATGATGGCATATATTTTTCCAGTGGCAAAGAGCAGAAGGATCATAAATCTTTCAATGTAAGTCTCACCAAAAGAAGTCGCCCTTTCCCTGTCTAGAGCATCCCAGGGTGGGAAATAAAAGAGGTGCCAGCAATAGGAGGTCCGATAAGCACGCTCAGATTCTGAGTCTCCTGTATTACACGGAACTTGCACCAGGAGGCAGCACAGTACGTGAGAAACAGCACTCGGGGAGCACGCACACCAGGCGGGCTGAAGCCGCAGCTGCACACCCAGCTTTCCCTTTGCTAATAAAATTACAGGTGGCCACCTGGTGAAGGATTCCTCAGTAGGTAGTCTGTTAACAGGTGTCACGCTACTGAAATCTACATATTGGAAGGCAGGGGGTGGCCAGCACAGCACAAGAAAGAGCAAATGTTTAGAGCCAGCAAGTCTGGGGATTCCCAGGGGCACCCGGGCGCAGTCAGCCAGAGTTTGAATCCTGTCAGTGCTACCTGTGTGACTTGAGAAGTTACTAAACACCTCTGAACCTCAGTTTTCCCATCTGGAAATTGGGATCGTGCTTGTATTTTATCTACTACAAAGATTAAATGACTTCCTACATGTCAGGCACTGTTCTAAGTGCTTTACAAATTCTAGTTAGTAAATAAGAATTTGTCGCTGTGTTCCTGGCATTGTCTAGGGAGAAAATGCCCTATTTCATAAGGACAGGCCACTGAGGCCATCCCAAACACACATCTTGCTCTGGCCCCATACTCACTAATAACTTCTAATTATAATTTGGCTTCCATTGCCGAGTTTTAATTTTTGTTTTATCTGTTTCCTGTGGACCTGGCTCATAATCGATCCTCACTGCCTGGCCCCAATCTGAATGCTGTTATGCGCAGTAACAAGATCAAATCTCTAGACCAGGAGAGCTGAAAATGAGACCGGTTTGGGTGGGGACCACACTGAAACGCAACCACGGTGGGAGCTGCTCTCTTGGAGGTCAACTGCTGCTGTCAGTGAACCAGCCCTCTTTCCGCTCTGGGCTGGGTCTGCTGCACCAACAGGGGCAGGGCGCTGACACTCTTTCCAAGGCCCGCAGCCCGCTCACTCAGGAGCTGCTCGACCTCTGCCAGGAGGGCGCAATCCTAGAGAAGATGGGGCGCCCACCCTAACTGGGCTTCCTCCTGAGCGCTGAGGGGGCACTTGCTAAGGAAGGGAGGCTAAGTAAAATGACCAAGACAGTTTTCTTGTGGGATTATCCCCCAGTGGTTTATCTCTTTCTTCCTTCTTAAGCGTTTCCTGGGAATGGAGCCCCAGCCCCGCATTCTCCCTTTGGGCAATTCCCGCAGAGACCAGGAGGCAATGCTCAGGAGGAACCGAAGGCAAGGCAGGATCGCTCCACAGCAGCCATGGAGCCGAGCAGACTGGCCGCTGCTGAGTACCTTCCTAACTGAGAGGCCCAGAAACTGCTGCAGTGACTTCTGAGGGGGGTTCAAATATGTGAATTTAATACAGAGTACTGACATCACAGAAGGAATGAAAATGTAGCAGGAATGGTTTGCATGCTATTAGGATAAGGCATAGCTGGTTCTTCTGGGAGGAAGGAGATTATAACAATGCATCTTCCTATGGAATAAAAATGTGGGAATTCTTGCTAAAGCTGTGGAATGTTTTTAAAGCACCTCTCTCCTGTGATACCCTAATAATCTACATTTACATCCCATTTGGGAAAATGGCGCATTCCATTAATACACAAATATGCTGGTATATGCATGAAATCCTTCTCATTGGATATACAAGAAATGGGAGGGGGCTTATGTAACTAGGGTGAGAGACTTTCACGTAGTCTTTTGTACTTTTTGGGCTTTTTCTATCTGCACATATAATCAATTCAAATAATAATACCAATCATCATTATAGTGTTGCTATGGTTAGGAAACTAGAAAAAAGGTTAGGCTGCATGTGGACTTACTGTACTGGGCAAACATAATACTAAATCATGCCTGTTCCATAGTCAGGTTTAACACACCTCTTAGTGGGGATCAAAATGGAACAGCGTCTGGGGAAGAACAAGAACTTCATGGAAATTTTGTGATGATAAAGTGCAAAATGCGGAAGCTCTTTAGAAAGCATAAGGGCTCTCATTTTATCATGTAAGTTCTCAGCACTCCTTCACCTTTATTCTCTTGGATTTCTCACAGAAGCTGTTGAGTGTGGTAGGGTGGGTCTTATATTGGGGCAGTTTACAGCTGAAACATAGCCAAGTGTTTGCTCACAGAGGTTAAGTCCCTTGTGGCAAGTCTTAGAGCTACATAAAGGCTGAAGTCAACCAGGTATTACAATAAAAATCAGTAGCTACGAAGAACCTTAAAGGCTACTGCCATAGGTGCTGGCTGAAGGTCACCGAGCCAAACAGGAAAGGGACCCTGGGCTGAGGACTAACCTGCGAGATCGTAGAGTTCAGTGTCGGAGGCACTGGCCAAAGCTTCTTCCAGTTCTGGGTCAAGGGTCACCTTCTCTTCTTTATGAGTTTCTACAGGCTTTTCTTTGGGGATAAAGACTCTCCCTTTAAATAAGAAAAAAACAAAAACAAAAACCATTGTGTACTGCTGCTTTATTTTAGGGTAGGTGGGCCCACCAGAGAATGCAGCTCTGGCCATTAAAAGCCAAGTCATTAAGCCATTGCACATCCACCTGGGAGTCCTTAATTGCTGGGATGATGTTAATATCAATATCAATAATCACACAAATAGAAGGAAGGTCAGAGGAGGAATCCTGTATTCTGCAACACTGAGAGCCAAAGAGTCTACAGTCCTTAAACACAGAAAGAAATGGCTTTTGCTTCCCTTCCTCCCTCCCATCCATTAGCAGCACTGACCTTAGACCTGGGCAAGGGGGGGCCCTGCCATGGACTCCACACTTTGGAGGGCCCAACTCTGGTCTTCTTTGGCTGCACCACTCTGCTCCCCCCGCCCCACCCCGCGCCCCCACACTGCTTCCGCCCCACCTAGGGAAGAGTCAAAGGACAAAGGGACATTCCCATCAGGAATAGAGGCCGCCTGCTAGACCACGCCCAAGGCAGCTAGGACCGTGGAATTCTTTGCCTGGAGAGCCCTAAGCCTTCTTCCAGGGCCTGCATGAACCCCTTCTCCATGCCCACCTCCGGAAAGGAGATCACAGTGCTAGGGGATGCACACCCCCAGGCTAGGGGAGGCTGTCTGTGGGTGAGTATGAATGAAGCTTGGATATGCAGGTGGAGGTGTCAAATCGAGTGTCTGAGGTCCTAGCAGTGAAGGACAGACATCCCTGCGTGGAACTCTTGAAAGTCCAAGAGTACTGGCCTAGATATATTTGTATGAGAATATAGCATATTTTTATAGTTTAACTTTAATTTTTTTTTTTTAAATGGAACATGGGCTTCTATTTGTGTTCTTATCTTGGACCCTGCAAATATTTGGGCCAGATTCATCCAAATGGCCCTGGGTATTCCTGAGGGACAAACTGAGGGACTCTTACCAGCTGCGGTTGCAGACCAGCAGGATGCTATAGCTAGGATCACTTGACCAGGTAATGACCTGGGAACACAGCCACCTTTCTAGAGCATATGGAAGTAAGCCTGATTTAAAAGAAAAAATCAGCGATGTGGAGGTCTGAGCAGGAGGCATGCTGTGCTTCCCATACATGCATCCTCTGCCACCACCTCCTTCTTCATCCCGTTGATTGGATTGCATTTTTTTTTTTTTTTGGCCCCTACTCACGTCTGCATATGCTGATATCTACAACACCCCCACCCCACCCCACCGAAACCTCTGGACTAATAATCACATTGCTGGGAAGACGGAACATTTCCCGACCCTAACTTCCCACCAGGCCAGCACACCCACATCGACATGGGCTTGTCAGGTGAACCCAAGACACTCCAGGGCCACCACAGCAACGCTCCAGACCTGCTCATACTCCTTCTAATTCCTCCTGGCTTGGATTCTTGGTTTCTCTCTTACTTCTTGGCATGATCTCTGAAATTGGTCTCCGGCATTTCGATCTTTAGAGTTCCCTAAAGACTCAACCCTCCAATTCTTCTCTTCTTTGTCACCTTGGGTAGAAGAGACAGCGTCAGCCAGCTGGGGCCCAAGTTTCTTCCAGGTCTCCTTCGCTAGTCTGGCCTTCTCCACTCACGTGGGGAAGGAATAGGTCAAACCCAAAGTCAGTGCCTCTCCCTCATGAAAACTCCCCAGGACACGTCCCTGGTTACAGAGGCTGCATATCTTCTGATTGTTCACCAGATCTTCAAATGGTTGGATAAGGAAACAGGGGCCAGGCAGAACTGGGCACCCCAAAGAGGCCCTACTCCTTGTGGTCAGGCTCAGGTATCCTGGCCACAGGTCTCTACCTCTGACCATCGTTAAGCTGCCATAGTTGCCAGAAAGAAATAAAACACACTGGGAAACAAAAATAGGAGAATGGCCAGAGGCCAGAGGACAGAAAAGGGGGGAAAAAAAAATCAACTAATCAATAGCAACTCAGACCAGGGGACTTATCCAGACTTAATTTTCATAGTATCTGTAGCCTGAAGCATTTTATTTCTTGGCTCAGATCTTTGGTACAGAGTCAAAAATAGGATTTCTAAGTTCCTAATGCCTGGTACTGTTTAAGATTACTCTAAACACTAGTTGCACGGGTGGCCCACAACTATCAGTACTCAGGACAACTGCTGCTGCACATCCATTCCCTGGGGACTGACCAAATAACAAGTTCTCAGTGAATAAAGCCACAGCGCAGAGTTAACTGCAGCCTGGGAACCGAGGGCCCAGGGCACACGGCGCTCAGAACCGAGGTTGGGAGGCCCCTCTCCTGCGGCCCTCTGAGAGCCTCCCCCTGACGCGAGAGCACCCGCCGCGGTCCCTCCTGGGGTCCTGCAGACTCCTCAGCCCGAGCCTTCTGCTCTGCTCAGAACACTTGCTCTCTGCCCATTTTCCTCAGGTGTTGCTTTCCCTAAGCTACCTGTGCAGCTGTATACCCCTTTTGTATCCCCAGTTGCTACTCAGATTTATTGCTCCTGCCTCCTAACTCCCCCGTGAACCCTCTGTAGATGAACCTGGATGGAGAGGGAATTTACCAGAGCTGCTGCTCAGACCTCTACTCGGGGAACAGAAGACAACAGCTTTCTTCTTACTGTTCTGTCACTACCCTAATACTGGATGTTAACTGGAATTTTATTGGAAATTTGATGTTGTAATTTATTTTTTTCACAATTAAATTAGCCCCATTGCATCTATACTGCCATAGTTAGAGCTCCCCATTTCTATGGCAATCCTTGGTTACTTGCCCAGTTTGTCACTGTTCAACTTTACTTTCTTAATTAAATGACATGATCAATGGTGCATAAGCCACCGAATGGCTCAGAGGAGAGCCCGGAAGGTGAGTACGCGAAGGCAGCGCTGCTGGACTCACGCCGGCGGGGGAGCTGTGTTCCTACCCCCGCGGCCGTGATACAGAAGCTCAGAGATGGCATTCATTCGAATCTGTATTTATCGAGTGCCACCCCTGTGTCAGTTTCTGCGCCAGGATGCAAGAGAGACACAGCCCCACTGTGGAGATCTTAATCTGATGTGGAAAGCACACAAAACTCCAAAATAAACAAAAGGATAAACGCTGTCACAGTGCTGTGAAAGTAATAAATGAGTGCCAACGTGGAAAGAAGCGGACTATTTTAGACAGAGAGTTCAGGGAAAGCCCGAGGCCCAACACTTAAGCTGAGAGTTAGAATGTACATAATGGGGATGGGGGTCAGAGGGAAGAGTCCATAAGAAAACCCTGAGATGGAACAAGAGCTCGGCAGGTTTGGGGAACTGAATGAAGATACTGGGGCTGAGGCTTAGCGAAGAAAGGTATGCAGAGAGCGGGGCACGGTGAACTCTCCCAGGGCTGTGAGGACAGCAGCAAGGATTTGGGGCTTTAAGTACGGAAGCGACATGATCTGATTTGTGTTTTAAAAAGACTGTGGTTGCCATGAGGTTATCAATGATTTCATTAGTAGCTATGGGCCCAAGTTGCTGTCTATAGCTGAAGAACCTGGACAGGCGAGTGGTATTCCCTCTTTCTTTAAAGGGGTTCAGGGTCGAGAGCTAAGGAGGGTTTTCCTGTCTTGATTCTGAGCTCGCTCCTGGTACGGAGAGAGCTCAGGACTTCTCCTCAGAGCCTTCCCAGGGCAGGGTGTTCCTCACTGGGGTCCCAGTACCTGGCCCTTGGCTATGCAGAGAGGAGGTAAATGCTGGCTGAATGAATGACTGACTGCACTGACCTCTAATGGTAGCATCTAAAGAAACAGAGCCGATGCCTAGACCTGGTGCAGACTTCTGCCGCGGGTGAGGCATGGGGCTGAGATAAACCACTCACGCCCACAGGATCCTCCTTGAGGCACAATGCTACTTCCCACTTCCAAAACTTTTTCTTTGCGAGTTAAGATTTTTTTTTAACAGAACTAACTCTAGTACCATCACACTCTAAGCATTCGTTTAATTTGCCTCCATAATTCTTTTTTATTTAGTTAATAAAGTTTATTTTGGGGAGAAGTTTTAAAATTTATTATTATATTTTAATCCTCACTCAAACTTGTTTATTGATTTGACATTGATGTGAGAAAGAAACCATTGACTGGTTGCCTCCTGCACGTTCCCCGACCAGGGATCAAACCTGCAACCTGTATGTGCCCTGACCGGGAATTGAATTCATAGCCTTCCAGGGTATGGTTGAAGCCAGGGCTGGGAGCAGTTTTTAGGTTCAGAGAAGAAAAGTACCAAGAGTTCCTATGTACCCCTTGAACCCACATCGACAACCTCCTTCTCTATCAATATCCCAGAGCAAAGTGGCACAGTCATTGCAATCAATGACTCTACATTGACATTATTATCATTCAAAGCTTACAGTTCACATTCGAGTGCACTCTTGGTGGTGTACATTCTGTGGGTCTGGACAAATGTCTACACTGACATGTATCCATCAGCCCTCATTCTTTTTAATACCGAATCCAGTTCATGGGCTTATTTCCCCTTCCCAGGTCAGCTCCCTTGCTTGACCTTCCATGACGATACATTAGGAGTACCTTTGCCCCACACCTGTGGTCCTTACCTTTCTTTTCTCCAGTGAAGGGCACAAAGTCTTCCCTGTCTTTCTGTTCTAAAGCCTCCTTCTCCAGATACATGAGGAGATGCTCGCGATCAAATGGGCCGGTGGCTGCTTTCTGGGTCTGGTCTTTCTGTCGGAATCCAGCTGGTAGCAGGGCACTCTGATAAGACAGAGGTGTGAGCCGGAAGGATGGTGTCTGCCCAACTGATACTTTGTTATCCCCCCCTCCTCTGATGTATATGGAGGAAGCATGGAGAAGGATACCTGTGCAGAGATGTGGGGATGTGGGTGTGAGCTGAGGGTGGGGTTCTCTGGCATATCTCTGACGCCCTACTTGCTCTAATATCCTGCGCTGAGAGGAGGGCTCCTGACAAATGGAGGCAGAACACAGGTGGCTTCTAGGTGGCCTCTAGGGCTTCTGCAGCTGCCTTCTAAAAGGTGACGGCAAAAGGCCCGCCTCCCTTCACAGCCTCACAGATCTCACTTAGGCTTGGCCAGAACTGCCTCCAAGGTGCTTCCAGGCAGGCATATGGAGATTCTACAAAGGAGCCAATATTGCTACACTCTTATTTCTAACCCCTCTCCTGGGGGAACATCCAAGCACTTAAAGTGAATATTATGGTGGATGTTGATACCTGCTTGAACGCTTAGAGATTCCTTCCTTAAGCGTAAAAAAATACAAACAGCCCTTGTTGGCGTGACTCAGTTGGTTAGAGCGTTGTTCCGTGAACCAAAAGGCCACAGGTTCAATCCCCAGTCAGGGTACATGCCTAAGCTATGGGCTCAATCCCTGGTTAGGGGACATACCAGAGGCAACCAATTGATGTTTTTCTCTCGCATAGATGTTTCTCTCCCGCATAGATGTTTCTCTCCCTCTTTCTCCATCCCTTCCCCTCTCTCTAAGATCAACATGCATGTCCTCGGATGAGGATTAAAAAGTAAATAAAGAAATAATACAAATAGAATACCTATATTTTTAAAAGTAAATACAATATCCAAAGTATCTGGCACATCAGAATACCATAGAAATAATTTTTAGTGCCATTTTTATTTACAGTAAAATCATAATTTTGGATGCCTCTGATTCTAAGTTTAAGATAGTAACAGCAGGGCTGAAGAAAGTGCTTGCTAAACAAACACTATAATAATTTATTGGGTTGGCCAAAAAGTCCGTTAACATTTTTTCCATATAATGGCTCTAGTACTGCTTAGTTTTCTTTAACTTCATTTGAAACAATTTTGTTAGATTATATTGTGACAGCTGTTACATCAGCATGCATTAAAAAAAACTTTATCAAAGTTGGTGAATTTTTGTGCAGTCATTTTAATATTGAAGATATTAAAATCTTCAATAAGATACACAACATTTTCAGCATGTTATGCTTTATTATTTCGAGAAAGGTAAAAATGCAACTGAAATGGGAAAAAGGGTTTGTGCAGTATATGGAGAAGGTGCTGTGACTAATTGAATATGTTAAAAGCGGTTTGCAAAGTTTCTTGGTACTATTGACATTTTAGCCAAATAACTTTTTGGTGTGCAGCTGTCTTATGCATTGGAAGATGTTAACAGCACCGTTGGCCTCTACCCACCAGAAGGCAATAGCAGGAGACAGCCAACATACTGAAGCTATCCAAATCAATAAAGTTATTGATGAAAATGAAAAATGCGTCTTTCATTTTTATGGAAAATACTAAACAGCCTTTTTGGCCAACACAATACTTGGCTTTTTAAGAGCTCATAAAAATAGTAGAAGTTCCACTTAAATGAGCTAGATATTATGGTTACTGTTATTCTAATCTACCTATTGTTACTGGCTTACCAAAGATTTCAAGTTATTTATACATTTTAAAGAAATGAGATATAGAAAAGATCTGTCTTTGGGGTTAAAGACTTGGTTTAAATAAAATCTTTGACATTTACTAGTATGGGATCTTAGGTAAATTGCTTCTCCTAGTTCGTCCCCTCATTTATGAAATGGTAATAATACAATTTATCTTGGGGCTCTTGTACCCAGCAGAATGCGTGACTCACAGAAGAATGTGGCAAGTTCTGTTCTCTTTCTCTCTTTCCTTTCTTTTCCCCCAAGTCAGACTAGTTTTTTGTCAACCAAAGGAATCTATTTTTTCCCTATTTACATTAAACTTTGAGAAATACACTTGCCATATCCTATTAAAGATGTGATTACTGAGGTTCCCCATGAATTTGTAAAAATAAGTGACTCAGAACCAATCAGGGAAGAACACAAAATCTGCATGTGAAGCTAGGGCATTTCTATTGTTTAAGGACCGTGCCCTGTCATTTATCCCAGACTGTCACTAACCACGCTGCTTCAGTTCCAGGTCACTAACCTCGGGATCTAGGTCATCAAGAACATTTTCCAAGTGTTTCAGTTCCTCTTCTGAGAGTTTGCCAAGAAGCTCGTCTTCATCAATGTTCTTGTATTTCTCCAACTCTTTTTGAAAAGGGAGAGCCATGGTTTCTCATATGCCTTCCTCATGGGCCATGAACATTTAACGGACCAGCTTCCTGAGACTTCAGAATACTCCTAATAAGAAAGAAACACTGTTATCTCCTTTCTATAAACAGGACTTATTAACAGGAGACAGGGGCAATGGGAGTCTCTCTATTGGATGATTAATTCAACAAAAAAAAAAAGGTAACACTACCTTCATTTGCAGAGCCAGAGGACCACTTACAAAATGTTTTCAGATATATTATTTTACGTACTAGATCTTCACAACAACCTGGAAAGAAAGCCTGGAGAAACATTAATAATCCATTTTACAGATAAAGATTCTGAGATGAAGGGTAGCTAAGGACCCTGCTTGAGGCTTCAAGAGCTGGGATGTGCCAGGCCTTCTGATTCCCAGGGTAGTGAGTGCTTTTCCACCACACTATTCTGCCTCCTCCAGCTTTCCACAGAAAACAGTGAAGAACAATGCGCTAATTGTAAGGCAGTTGTGAGAAGCACACTTGTGTCTTTTCAGAGACAGAGTGATGTGAAGAATACAAAATGGGATTCATTCAGGAAAGAGAGTTTGAACGTCCATGTGAGAAAGCATTGTCTAGTAACTCCCCTGCCATTAAACTAAGTTAAGATTCTAAAATCCCGGCTATAGCATGGTCTCTCCACTTCTCTCTTCTTCTTTCCTCCTCTCCCGTTCTCTTTTTAGTCACATTTCCTCTGTTTCCTGGGCCATCCTGCTTAAGTCTTTACACCCCTAGTCCATTCTCCTTTCCATCCCCACCTCTTATACCACCTCACCCCTAAACTTCCACTCACAGTGAGGTTTTTACTCAATCCCTTCTTTTTTTTTACAGAGGACTTTACAGGTAGTCCCTAGAAAGATAATATTGTACTCAGGAAATAACAATGTGCTCAGCCTATTCTGTTTCTCCTTAGGTGGTATTAGTATTAGTCAGATCTTTCAAGGCAATCAGTTCTAGGAAATAGGAATGCAAAGATAAACAACGAGATCATAGCTCGGTGAGACGGACAAATAGGATAATACCGCTTAATAAGTGTTATAACGGAAATAATGTATAAAGTAGGTTTAAAACACATGCGGAAATAATTATTGGATAAGGGGTCTAGGACTTGAGGGGCCACTGTGAAAAAGAGGTTGAGTTTGAGACTTGAAGGAGGAGGTCATAAGGTAGACATGAGTGGGGAAGGGTTATTCTTGGGAAAAAGGAACAACAGAAACAGAGGCACAAAGAAAGTACAAGATGAGTTGGCGAGAGCTTGGTGTTTCTAGAGGGGAGGGTTGCAGGGTAGGGAGAGGAAGAAACTAAAGACAAGGAAGACATCTGTCAAGGGCCTTCCCTATATGCCTTGTCTTGGAAACTGGAAACTTACTCTGTTGGAAGATAAAGAGCCACTACAAATTTTCAGAGAAATGATCTGAGAAGCCTTGTTTTTAATAAGATAACTCAAACAGTAAGAATGAAAAATGGGTTGGCAGGGAAAGAATGTTGTTCCTTTCTCCTTATTAATTCAACTGCTCACCATATTCAAGCTGTGGTTTTCTATTTAGGTGTCATTTTCTCATATAATGTAACTCTCCTTTTCATCAGCCCACCTTCTTTTAGCTTCAATTGCTTTATTTCAGTAAAAACAAAACAAGACCCACCCCACTAAAGTCAGAGAAACCAACTGTATCTTATACACTTTGTTCTGGTCGCAGCAACCGCCAATTTATTGTAGCTCTGGACAAGGATCTCAATCTGCTGGGCTCTTAGCCATCAAGTGAATAAATTGGTAGAAGTACGCTACCTAACAGATTTAAGATGCATGGTTTCCCACATTTAACATCCTGAAATTGATACTTCTTATAACTGATGGTCCTACAATAACCATTGACACAGCAGTCAAGATGTACTTGTCACTGCCTAAATATGCACAAACATCAAGAGCTCCTGCTTCAAAACTAGCAGAACAGGCATCAGGGATTTGGAAAAAATCCCAGGGGTCTTTTAAAATCTAGTGAGGAGGGAGTGGGTGGGGTGGTGACTCAGGTGTACTTAGCAACGCTCCCAAAGGAAGGTCCCGATTAGGCCAGTTCCGTATAATTACAGAATGGTTTAAGAGCCCATATCAATGATTTTTATAAAATTACCATTCTTGACGGCATAGAGGAGGTACTGTGTCAAAAAAAGCTCGACACTGATGACTATGAGTCAAAATATGATTCAAAAAGTTGGAACCTGAACATGAAGAAGTTTAAGAATATCAACCAATTCATTTCACTTGCATTTTCCCTTTTTATGTATGTACAGGAATGCTCTTTTAAAAATCTATGTATATACAAAGCAGCTTTATTTGTAATAGCCAAAAACTGTAAACAACCTGAATAATTATTAGTAGGTGAATGGGTAAACAAATTGCGCTATATCCACATTATGGAATCTACTCAGAAATAAAAACAAATGAACTATTGATACACGTGGTGATATGGATGAACCTCAAAATAATTATGCTGAATGAAAGAAGCCAGGCCAAAAACAATATACCTGGTATAATTTTATTAACCTAAAATTCTAGAAAATGTAAACTGATCTATATGACAGAAAGTAAATCAGCAGTTGCACTGCAATCAAAGAGAGGTAGGGAGAGACAGAGGAGTGCGTTCCAAGGGGCATGAGGAAACCTGGGGGTTATACATCTGTTCATTACCTTGACTGTGGTCATAGTTTCACAGGTGCATGCATAGGTTCTCAAACTGTGCACTTTAAATATGCGCAGTTTGGTATACGTCAATTAAAAGACATCAAAAAATCTGTGTGTAAGACCAAAACAGCTCTTTCAATAAAGTAAAAATTATATACTTAAGAAGACATGTATCATATTTTAATTTTTTCTTAGTGGTACATAACATATTGGTGTATTTTACAATTGATGGTATTTTAAGAGTTGGTAAGATTCTATTCCTATTTCTATTCCAGGCTTCTGCCACTATACGCCAACTCCTCATCTTCCCCTGAAACAGATGTTCTAAAAATCTAGATCATACCATTAATCTCGCAGTCAGTCACTTCCAAAGCTCAGATTCCTACCTTTCATTCCAGGTCTAGTTGGTTGACACCTCTGGTGGAATCTCACTGCACAGAACTTCCACAGCACCCCTCCCTGTCCCTCTTGTTTCAGGCTTTTGTTCCTCCAGGCCTGGACTACTCTAATTGCATCTTGAAAGGTTTCTGTTCTTCCCTCTAAGCCACCCAGAACACCACGATCAGATCATCTTTCTTAACATGGTTAACAAGCCACTACCCTGATAAAGGACTTCCATTGGCTTCCTATTGTCTACAGAACAAAATTCAGACAGTTCATCCAAAGTTCCTATAATGTGCCTTTGATCTGCGCTTCCTATTTTCTTCTTTCGTTACTTTCCTAGGCAGCCCTCCAATCCAGTCAAAATGGTTTATTTGCTCTATGTGGTAGGCAGAATAATACCCCCTAAAGATTTTAAAATAGGAAAGTTATCCTGGATTATATGGGTGGGCCCAATTAATCACAGGGGCTCTTAAATGAGGAAGAGGTAAATAGAAGAGTTAGAGAACAAGATGGGACCACAAAAGCGGAGGTTAAGAGTGATGCAATTAATTTGAAGATGGAGGAAGGGCCTGAGAGCCAAGAAATGTGTGTGGGCTCTAGAAGCTGGAAAAGGGAAGGAAGTGGATTCTGTCCTAGAGCCTTCAGAAAGGAATGCATTAATTCCAGCCCAATGAAACCTGCTTTGGACTTCTAACTCCTGAAACTCTAAGATAATAAATCTGTGTTGTTTTAAGCCACCACATTTGTGACAGTGGCAATAGGGAACAAATATATTCTCTTATCTGTACACTTCCATTTTCCAAAATAATTGTTCGGGATATCTTGTTTGCCTCTGCACATCCACTCCCCATCCTGCTCTGTGCCCTGGAAAGATGATGTGTTTACACTGCATCTGTGGGCTCCCTTGCTCTCTGGCTTCTGTTTGGCCTACAGGAGGCACTAGCAGGAAACTGGAGGGCAGGGGGAAAGGAGCGGGAGGGGGGTCCAGAGGCCCCATCTCCGATCAGACAGCCTTCTCTATATGGCTGCCCTCCCCGTGTTCACTTCAGTCCTTGGGGGTGGTGAAGGGTCTCTCCGTGGCTAGGGCCCGCTTTCTGCCTTACTGCATTCCTCAGCCCCTCCCTACATCTTTGTAAATAGCTTCTTTATTAAAATTCCTTCCAATTATTCAGTTTGCACGTGTCCTCGTTTCTTACTGGGACCTTGGCTGATACAGTAAAATTACTTGGAATTCCCTTCTTCGTTCTCATGGATAAGCCATGTGCTCTGTTTTTGAGACCTGACTCAGATTGCAGCTCTGTGATGACCACAGACTGTCAGAGCTGACTGAGGCCTTAAAGATCAGCCAGTCCAGCAGAAAAGATGGTTTTTCTCCTCCTCTCTCCATCTTGATCTGTTTTGACAGTTCCTCTCCCTCCGCCTCAATACTGGTAGGCTGCACAGTCCTGTCTTAGAACATTCTCCCTGCAGAAATTCATCTCCTCCAAAATTTTAATGATTATCCATACCCCGAAGATCCCCAAATCTGTATCTTTGTTCTGGACTAGATTTATATATTTCCATCTGCGGAACCGACATCTCTACTTGGCTGCCTCAGGCTCCTCGGATGTCAGAAGCTCTCATTGTCTTTCCTTCCAAATGGCTTCTCCTACGGCTTCTCCTCCTCTACAGTTTCCCACTTCAGGAAGCTGGCCCAGAAACTGGGGATCCATTCTCTCTTTTTAAAAGGGTTTTTATTTACTAATGTTAGAGAGAGTAGAAAGGAGAGAGAGAGAGGGAGGGAGGGAGAAAGAGAAACACTGATTTGTTGTTCCAATTATTTATGTATTCATTGGTTGCTTCTTGTATGAGCCCTGACTGTGGATAGAACCCACAACCTTGATATATCAGGACAGTGCTCTAACCAACTGAGCTTCCTAGCCAGGGCCCAGGGGGCCCTTCTTGACACATTCTCTTCCTTGTATCCTCTTTAGCCATCAATCACCAAATCC